ATATTCGATACGTATACTTGCATAGTAGAATTTTAACTGACAATTGTATATCAAAGATTATAGGAAGATTAAACACGAGTTCACAATCCATCAGGATTTCAGTTCTACTATAAGCAAATGTATAAGAGTGAGATCAGGATTTAAGTAACTGTTAAACTTAAATTTGATTCTCACATGATTCTAGTTCATGTTATAGTGTCATTACTTGGAGTCAATGATTTTTGTGATTTGAGACTAATCATTCACTTGAAGTGAACCACATTCATTTTGTTGAAAGTAATCTGGACACTACAACCTTAACATAATAAAACGACCAGCTTTATTATTGTGAACAATTTTTATATTCAATTAAAATATGTCTTCTTTGTATGCCTTTTCATACAAATGTATTTTAATATCTCAATGGAATCATGGTACTTTAATTACTAGATAATGAATGCTTACCTAAAACAAACTCTTTATCGTATTATCAAAATGTACCTTCATTACAAATAAATTAAATGAAATTAAACATGAGAATATACTTGTTTTTCAAGGTACCATATTCTCAAATTTCTAACTGTTGGAGTAGGATCTTAGCGGATTAATGTGATTGTGTACAGCATGAATTTCAAAAATTTCTTTTATAAAGGAAGCAAGCAATAGAATTACACAAGCAGAAACATACATCATTATTATTGCAAGTAACATAATCACATCCAAAAAAAAAAAAGAGAATCTATCAAGTAAGAAAAACTATATATTTTATTTTGAGATTCTTATTTTCAAACACCACCACACCAATGATTGATTTTTCAACCAAACAAGTTTATCACTTATTCTTCAAGAATACTTTTAACTTGAACCTTGAGTGAAAAAGGTGTGGAATGCAAGATTACAACATGGCAATTGATTTCCTCTCTCTTTTCTTCAAAAAAGCTTAAAGGAGGAGAAGAGAAGTGACGGCTGAAACTTTTTCAAGAAAAAGTATATTCTTTTAATTTTCTTCCAATCTCTTCTCTTTTTATTAAAACTCTTGCCTCAAAGGTTTAATCAAAATGAAACACTTTGAATCAATCTTGACCATCTAATTAGAGTTATGGAAGCATCGAACATGCTCTATAATTATCAAAATGAAAATTAAAGAATAAATAATTTAATTCTTTAATTATCATTCAGAGTTCTTGATAAAATTAAACTCCTTATTGAATAATAATTCTTATTTTATTATGATCCATCTTTATTTAAAAAGAATTAATAAT